CTGTTTACAACACCCAGCCATATCATTCAGTGTCTCTAACCATCGGGTACGACCATCCTGAGGTCCCCATCCAGGGAGCCTAACGGGACCTGTGTGACCTAAACTCCTGGTTAATGTTTTCATACCCTCATGCCAGGTCTTAGCTTGATCACGCCTGGCCTTTTTCCAACCACTCCCTGCCTTCGCAAACATCGCTCGCCGTGGTAACCCATTTGGTGACATGCGTAACACATGCCCCAACCAACGTAATGTATGGAGGTCGACTACTTGCTTCAGTGGGCGACCGCGGTTGCCTAAAACTTTTCCCCTGACCTCAGCATTGCTCGTCCGGCTGCCCCACCAGATTCGTGCAATGCTACATAAACCGCGGTTTTCAAACACCGACAATCTATCTTTGTCCTGTTTTCTTTATGGCCAAGTTTCTGCTCCATATAGCAGAACTGGCCGAACTACTGCAGCATATACTCGACCCTTCACAGACAGCCGGATGTCGCGACGGCGCCACAGATGTCTCAAGTTGGCGAACGTCAATCGAGCCTTTTGTATGCGAGCTGACACTTCATCCGTGATGCCTCCACCGGGTGAGGTGTCGCTGCCCAAATAACAAAACTTATCCACTTTCTCTATTACTTCTCCAGTAATAGTGAGACTGGGTGCTGGATCAACCCAGTCTTGTAGTAACATTTTACAGTTTGAAGGTACAAAACACGCACCAGACACACTAGCACTCTAACTATCCAGAAAAGCTTGTAACTTACCTGGATCTTCATTTAGTAGAACAATGTCGTCTGCGCACTCTAGATCAGACAGCCTGCCACCTGGAAGTAGATCGATGCCACTATCCTCGCACGAGGATAGGGCTGTATCCATAATCAGATCTATAACAAAGTTAAATAGAGATGGAGAGAGAGAAGGCAACCCTGTCGAACACCACTTCCCGTGATGAACTCGGGTGAAAACGTGCCGTAAGCTCGAACTCGGCTTCGGCTATGAGTATAGACGAATAGTAATATTGAAATAAACTTCTCGGGCACACCTTTCAGGGAAAGGCAGCGCTAGAGTTTAGAGCGATCAATTAAGTCGAAGGCCGCTTTTAGATCCAGGAATATATATATATATATATATGTATATATATATATGGGTTGGTGAATGTTAAAAGTATGGAGAAAGCACAGCACCCAGAAGGACTCCTGAATGATTCACTGACAGTTTTGAAACAGTCGTTCACGTTCGTTCTCTGAAGCCTTCTTGTGAAATAGTCTTTCAACTA